AATATTTACGGTTACTATATAGAATATTTACATAGCCAGAAGAGCTACGTACCTAGGCAAAAGTAGAAAGGATTTTAAGTTTTGACCATGGAGAATGTCGTAGAACAAAGGTGCCAAAATGATGTGGTCATGCTTGATACCATATAGACTGAGAGTCGCTTTGAGGGCATCTCTGCCTGTTCGTCTCCATATCTTGATTGAAAATTTTGATGGTTCACCAATTCAACAAACCAAGTAAATGTTGAGAAATAAATGTAAAGAATAAATAGATAAAAGTACCATAGGTTTGGACGCAAGGTGGAGAAACAACCATCACAGACGATGGTGAGAGAGGACACATCTAGTCGTAATAATCCCTTGACCATCTTTTGTTTTGTTTTCTTTTACGATTTTGATTATCCCGTTTCTTCGACCAAAGACGTAATTGCTCCATTCGAACACTGAAATCCAGTATCAAAAAACTCATATTAGATTCTACAACAATTAGCAAAAATAAAAATAAAAATAAGGATATCAAAACTGAAAACCAAAACTACATATCCTAAGCCTAAACACAAATATTTCGCTCTATATATAGGAAAATGTTATGGGGAAAGTCAAATTTTCTATTCAACTAAAAAATATTGCATAAAAGATTCGTATTTCTTGATTTTCAAAATATAATTACATAAACGGAAAGTTTGGAACTGTTTGAGATTTTTCATTTATTGTTAAGAATTTTTTTCTGGAATTGCTATTTGTTATTAAGATTTTTTTATGAATTGCCAAAAATATGGATGTAGAATTATTTTGTTAAGATTGCGAAATTAATAGGATCATAAGTTTGGAAATATCATTACCTAATTAAATTAATGAGAAATTCTGAATTTCGTGGATAACAATATTTGCAAAGATTTGTTAATTTTATAGTTAATGATATAGAAATTTTAGGATACATTCCATTTGTTTGTTATGTGTAAGATTTTGTTTACTATTTTGATTTAGTAGGTACTAAATTTATGGGATCTAAATTTTATAAAAATTAATAAATTGATTACGTTTTAATTAATATTTTTGTTTTGGTTAGTTTATATATTTGAAATCGTTGTAATCACGATTATTCCAAAACAAACTCAAATTCGAATTAATTGTCAAGTAGTTATAGTAAGTGCGGATTTCTTTGATTCTGATTTCGAATTAATTGTCAAGTAGTTATAGTAAGTGCGGATTTCTTTGATTCTGATTTCTTTGATATAATAGATATATTAATTGTTCAATTATAATGTTATACTCGTAGAATATTTTAGGGAATATGGTTACGTATAAGATTAAACGATTTCCAAATTTAAACAAAGCATTATTTTAGGGATACTGAATTAATTAAGATTTTAGTAGTTATTGCAACAACTTATCCAATTATTCTTTTAATTATAGTAGTTATTGTAACCACTATTTATTAGGACGTTTAAATAGCAATTAATAGAATGTAGTTAAGGTATCTTTGTAAAATTTGATTAAGACAATATTTTTGTCAGATTTTATTTGTAGGGACTAAATGTACAATATTGAAATTGTAAAAGGATTTTTGAGGCCAAATCTTCACCAAAAATGTATATATAGATATCCGGTGTATTAGTTGGGTTAAATATAACCCGACCCAACAAATTTTTTGTGGAGGAATTTTAAAAACGGGTCGGGTATCCGATATACCCGGAAGCATTTTTACCCACCCGTCACTAAAGTGTTGCAAAAATACTAGTATAGATATAATTTCACGATGTTACTAAAGGAAAAAACATTTTAGTTACTATATATCTAATTTGGATGTCCTGAGACAACGGGATTGTTAAAAATAATAATATTATTATTATTATTCCTTTTTGTTAATTAGGTATTAATTTTTCCATGGTTTAGGACAAGCTTTTGCTAATGCTTTATAACAAACGCCATCCCTTATACTAGAAATCGAACTAGGAATTAAACATATGGATCTAACTCTTGCACTTAAATCACTAGCCTAATGTATCATTGGTGTCTTATTTTTATTGTTTGGATAAATATAGTATATCTTGGGGATCAGAGACTTGGAAAGAGGTGTAGAATATCTTGGAAACTAGTTATGTTTTTTTGGTAAACAACTTACGGAATTTAACGAGCTTCTTTAAATTACTTTGTCTTTTACTACGTACGGAGAAAATGATTAGAAAACTCGATATATAGTACTAGTAGCGAAAATTATTCACATGCATCAAATGGAAGCGGCAGAGAAAAAAAGACATTCGAAATTGGTGGAAATTATAAAACTAAATAAAATTTTGATCCACTGTAGTGAACTTCTGCGCTAGGAAACCTTTTTTTTTTTAAAAAGAATGCACCTCAAAATCACGACGTCGAATCTTTGATCTAAGAAAATAGATTAATTTACCTGTTTTGTTTCCCGAGGAAATTATGGACAAGCGGTCCACAATATATTGGTATCTGAAAAACTAGGCCTGGGCACAAATATGGATCCACATAGAACCGAACCGAACCGAAATTGATGGGTATGGTTCGGTTCCGGTTCTAGTAAAAATATCGATTGGATCTTGAATCAAAGAACCATGGGTATCGGTTCGGTTCGGGTAGGAACCGATATCCATTCGGGTACCCAAAAAATATTACCCATTAACCTATATCTATATAACTCAAAGTCTCAAACCTATCTAGACATAAACCTAACTATCCAAGCCTAACAACCTACCATATATCTCTCTTAAAGTCTTATATATTTTTTGAAACCTAAAAAAAAATCCTAGTTTGTTCTCTCTTTCTCAAAGAAGGAGATGCCGCAGACAACAACTCTCTCTTTCGAATCATTGCAAATCGATGACAAAGATTCTTTTGGTGTCTTTAAAACTTGTGTTTTGTGGTATTTTTGAAACTTTTGGGTGTCTTTTGATTTAATACTTTCCAAGTTTCAATTATTTGTTGAATTTGTAATGGTATGATGACTAATATGTGATGTTGCATTGCATACTTGCATAATTGCATTTGAATTTTGCATTATAATTCTATTGTTTTTTCGGTTCTAAATATATCCGAAACAGTTTGGTTCCTACTCGGTTCCAAAATTTATTACCCGAACCGAACCGAATAGGAACCGAACCGGAACCGAACCGATATTGATTTGGTTCCAATATGGTTCCTAAATCTCAGAACCAAAATACTTGGAACCGAATGGTTCGGTTCTAGAACCGAACCGAATACCCAAACGCCCAGGCCTATGAAAAACTATGAAAAACCAAAGATTATATCGTTATCTGCGATATAATTGGTTATATTTATAGCACTGAATTTAGACACGTATGATGATAGTTTGACACGTTCCACGCGAGTCTCGTCGTGTAACGTGCTTGATAAAAAAATGTACGCCACGGTCGTCGTTTTCTATCTGTATCTGTGGGCTCAGGTTATTGAACATAATGACTAATATCTTTTAATTTTACATTATTGGGTATTTGCATTATTCCCTTTTTATATGTCAATAAAAGTTTAATGCTTAGGTTTCTTTTGCTTTTTGCTGTTTTTCTATGGTTTTATTCGTTTCTGTCTTTGTGAAATGGGACTTTTGTTTCATGAGGATTCTATGAATTCTTCTGTTTTGTCTCTCAAACATCCTATATTCCTATTTGATTGTGATTATCTGTGTAATTGGGATTTTGAAAATTTTATGTAGTACTCCAGTTAATGTCAAAAATTAATGGATATCTGTAGTATATTAAATATGGGTTTTGTGCAAAAAAAAACCTTTAACTCGTCTATATTTGCAATTTTACCCTTCATCTTCGAAATCCAAAGTAACCTTTATTCGCTACCGTCAAGTTCGTAAATTTTTAACAAATAATATGTCAAATTGAATCCCTCGCGATGAAGAGTTCAACTCCACTTTTAAAATTTTAAAAAACTTATGTATGTGACCGGAAAAACGTTTACAATATACGTATAAGAGTTATATTGCGTATTATTTTGGACTTTGTAAAATTAATCTGTATTTTTCGAAAATATAAGATAAAGATAGACGAGTTGGAAGGTTTTTTTGAACAAAACCCATTAAATATCAATGAGTTTTTAAATTGTGAAGAGGTGTTAACACATTTCATTTGGCTACCCGGTCATAAATAATGACTTCAACTACTCACCTCCATTTCGTGGGAACAAATATATATAGACAAAAATGTTTTTGAGAAACGTCCTTGGTTAAGTGGTGATCTACTATTATTGTTTTTTTAATCCAAAAGATTTAGATTTCTCCTACTTAAAAATCTGTTTAGCTTTTAAAGATGAAGTATGTACACATTATTTAAGAAAATAAACGTAAATATAATATAACAAATTGTAAAAATTCTGCTTCATTAGTCAAAAGCTAATTAATCAAATTTACACCAAGTAAGGATTTCGATTTTCGAATATTTATATTAATTAATACAAAACTTATCAGAAAACTTAATATACTACAGATAAAACCGATTTTCGTGGTTTCAAGTATATTCATTATGACTGCATGTATTTAAATTCGACTGGTTGATGATGATAACTTGTAAATTGCAATAGAATAACATTAATTTTTTATAACGACAAAAAAGCTACCTAATTGTAAGGTTTATGTTAATATTTTGTTAAGTTTGTGTTTTTTACCTTGTTATTGAAAAATGTTAGTCTTACATTATTACTAACAAAAGAAATTCATTTGATGTAAAAGACACAATTGAAAATATCATATAATGTGTTAAAAAATCTAGAAAAGAAGCCGAAGTTAATAGTTACAAACAACTTTTCACCACAAAATACGTACAATATATACGTAATATATAGGTATATGTATGATAGTATACAACAATTATACAAACACATCGTTATATTATCTGGATTCCAAATTCACTATCAAAACCAACCAAGAAAACAAATTTAATAGAAAGAATATTAAAAAAAAAAACTTTTTAACATTACGACGTTTAGGTTAAATAGACAGAGAGAAAGAGCGTGTGAACCTCTGACACGTGTGACGACTCGAAGAGAAAGAGAGAGATAGAGAGAGGAGAAGAGAGACTCGTTCTTCTTCATGGTTATGTAGCTTCAGAGGATAAGATCTCAAGCTCTGCCCACCAAAGAGGAGAGAGTCTTGGTGTTGCTTGTTCTTGAGATATGTTTATTACTTCTTTCAATTGTTCAACCACATCTTTCATTTTTGGTCTTTGGCTTTCGTCAAGTTTCAGACAATGTCTTGCCACGTCACATATAGCTTCAAGTTCTTCTTCTTTAAACGTTGTTAGTGTAGGATCAATCATATCTCTCAAATTATCATTCTCAAGATACTTTGAGGCCTGTTAGAAACACAAGTAAAAGTGTTAAGTTTAAAAAATATTGAGATTTGATTGTCATGTTTTGAGTTTTACCCATTTTAGAATTGATCCTTCTTCTTCTGAATCTGAGAGCTTTCCAGAGATTATCTCAAGCATTAATACTCCAAAGCTATAGACATTAGTCTCTGGTTCAGGTGGTAATGGCAATAAAGATTGGTCTAAATCACCACTCATCGGTTTTCTCGGTTTACTCCCGGTTTGTCCGCTGAAAGGAACCTCTCCGACCTACAAAATGTAAAACGTTTTAGTACTGGGTTTGAGTAAGAATCAATAACACTATTAAAACAGATTTCTTGTTAAGCAAGAAAAAAAGAACTACTGAAAAAGTTTTCTTGTTGAGCAAGAAAGTAAGAACCTTTGCTGCGTAATCATCTGTTAAGTAGATTGCTGATGAGACAAGTTTAGTGTGTGAGATTGGCGGATTAAGCTCGTGCATATATTGCAGACAATAAGCAGTTCCCATTATTATCCTCATCCTCGCGCTCCAATCAAGATGTTCCATGTCCTTATCTGAACAAGAAGATAAAGATTGGTTGGTGATAATCATAGTAAACCTAACAAGATCTTGATATGGAGACATATTTCTATGTTTCTTACCGTGTAAATGTTCGAAAAGAGATCCATTTGGAGCATATTCGAAAACCATCATCCTATTAAACGGTTCATCTTCTTCGCAATAACCAATTAGATTGATAAAGTTCTTATGGTTGACTCTTGACATTGTATCAATCTGCAAAATATAAGCTCTCCAAACATCAGTCAAGATTTTTGGTAAAAAGGTCAAAAAAACCCTCTGTTTCTTTTTATTACCCTTCTGCGGTAAGTCATTTCCATAGCTCTTGTCCATTCTCTAGTTTCCAAAATCGCGGTTGAAGCAACCGCAATCTCAACGCCACTTGACAAAGTTCCTTTATAGACAGTGTAACCATCAAATGCTTCAATGATATTGCTGAAATCTTCACAGGCTGTTTCTAGTTCAGACCGGTTTAGCTTAGGTACACCTGAAAACATTTCTCACATTATGTTAAAACCGAAAACAGAACAAAAATCAGTTTGTTTTAACAATTTTTTTTACCAGTAACAAAAGCTTTCTGCAATTGTCCACTCAAACCAGTCTTCCATGGACCTATACTCTTCACAGCTCTTTTCCGGAAGAAGAATATAACCGCTACTATTATCAGCATCGCTACGAAAGCAGCAACACCAATAACAACATACAACCAAACGTCCTTAAACCCTTTCGATTTTTCTTCGAATTTCCTCGGTGGATCATTAGCGATGGTGTTGTTGGTAGGAGGAGAAGGAGAAGAAGGAGAGATCAATGGAGGTATTCTCTTCTTTGCATTAGTTAATGCGGGAAAAGACCCGCTGCTTCGAGGAAACACTCTGGTTACAATCTCAGGAGAAGGACTAGGCGCATCAGGCGCCGGCGTAGCCGCTAAATTGCTTGTTCCCTCGAGTAACTCACGCCTTTTGAAGATACTAGTTTCGTTCCCTGAATAACCTGCAACAAAAAGAAGGAAATAAGATTGACACTTATGAGTTTTGTGTGTTTCCAATTGCAGAGCTTTGAGTAATCTTTTAGCCTTACTTGGGTGATAATTCACGACATATTTCTCGCTGTGAGATTCCTTTCGCACCCTGAAGAGACATAAAACATAGAAAATCAGTAACACAGGAGGATTAAAACATACAAATCAAACAAACAGTATTGAAAGATAAGAAAATGCTTTCATGTAATGTCTTGAAGTTGCTCTAATCCGCAATACGAATGCCTTTGCCTTGTTTCTTGTTAGTAAACTTCTCCTTGAAACACTGTCAAATGAATTCAAATTTAAAACACAAGTCAATGAAAAGCCAAGGTTTCGCCATCTTAACAAGAAAAATACTTAAATTTTGATTACCAGTATCCAAGTTTTCTATTTACACAGTCGAGTACATCGTAAGACGAAGAAGATAGCTCCCGATTCTTGTTCAACTGGACTTTATATAGCGATTGAAGTCTCAGGAACTTTATGGTCATAAAACCCGCAAATTTGTTACCAGAAAGCAGCCTGAATCCACCACAAAAACAGAACATTTTGTATCAACACATTGTTTTGGATTAAATCAAAAGCACTACAAGCCTTTAAAACTCACAAGTTTTCCGGTGTCAACACTTTGTTTAGCTCGGGTGGTACTACTCCGCTTAACTTATTATCTCGCAAATCCAAGAACTCTAATTTCGCGAAATTCGCAAATTCCTTTGGAATGTCACCAGAGAATTTGTTCTTGGATAGTATTCTACAAAATAAATAAACAAGAATTGGTTTTAGTTCTTCTTATTCTTTCAAGAAACAGAGCAAAAATATCAGTTAAAAACCACTTACAGCGATCTTAATTCACTCAATTGACTAAGCTCAGGAGCTAAAGTTCCTCCCAAAGAACAACCACTAAGATTCCTACAAAACAAAACCAATACATTCGTTAGATTTTGCAACAAGAATCACAAAAAAACAAAAAACAAAACATACTTACAGCATCTGCACTTTATTGTCGACACACGTAACACCAAACCAAGAACACAAATGATCATGATCAGAAACATTCCAATTTGCAAGAGTTCCATGAGGATCAGAATCAACTCTTGCCCGGAATTTCAACAATATGTATCCTACATTGAATCACAAACAACCCTTTAAACCAATGATCCAAAAGAACAAAATGATAGAGATTTAAAAGCTTTTTACCTTCGGATTCGAGGGATAACGAGAAACGAGATTGAAGGGTAATGATCAAGAACATAAAGCAAGAGAATTGGAACCCAATTGGATTCCATCGACAACCCATTTTAGGTATACACCAATGCTATACAAAATCGCCAGATTTTTTCCTAAATGAACAAAGAAAATAAATAATACAAATTTCACAGAATCCTTGGTAGGAGAAAGACGACGAGGTTGATGATTGAACAATCAGGGTCTCTCATTGTTTCCAGTTTTGCAAAATCACAAAACCCTAATAATGTTCATGTCCTAAAGAGTCAACAACTCGTACGTTAATTCTCTTCTTCTTGTTACTCCTGGAGAAAAAAAAAAAAAGCCAACAAGAAACAAACAAACAATTATCAAAACTTTAACAACAAATGTATAACAATAATTAAACAAAAAAAAAAAGAAAGAATAAGAATAACCCTCTTGAAGAAGCAATGTGAAGAAAAACAAAAAAAATATTAATCTTTTTCCCTCATAAAATGAAGAACATTGCAAATTAATTACAAAATCAAATAATTACCTTAAAGATGAAACTTCTTCACCAAGAATTGGGTATAGGGTTTGAGAAATGAATTTTTTTTTAAAAAATCCCCAGAAAATAGAAAATGATTATTAAAAAAAACTTTAAAAAGGTAGAATTTTTGTTTAAAAACAAATATTGGATTTATATTTTCTGATTTGTTCTTGAACTTGCCCTTGTTTTTGCAGGATGGTGATGATGAAGATGATGATCTCAGAGTTTTCTCTCTTCGACCATCTTTGGTCTCTCCAGGGCCAAAGGGTGGTGGGTTCTCTCTCCTTCCTCTCTCTTTCCTTTTTCTTCCTCTTCTCTCTCTCTCTCTTTCTCTTGTCGAATCTTTTTTTCCTATTTTTTAATTCTTTTTTAACAATTTTCCCCCACAAAACTGTCTCTGTTTTTTAATTTTTTAAAAATTTCCTATCAATGAGTAAAGACCCTATTAACTTCCTTTAGATTTTCCATAATTATAGAAATTTTTATATTCGCATAAATCAAAAATTAAGGGAAAATTAGATTGGGTACCACATTTTGCCCAAAAGTTATCACTTCTACCACATTTGAATCCCAATTATCATTCATACCACATTGTGTTTGTAAAATGACCATTTTACCCTCCAACTGGTGAGATAAGGAACTGCAGTTGATGTGACCTTTCGAAACAAAGTTGTCCCCGAGTAAATCCAGATCTTCGTCTTCGTCCCCGAGTAAGTAAACGAGGAAGATCAACACTGTTTGCTTTCATTCAATCCAGATCTTCGTCTTCGTCCCCGAGTAAGTGAACGAGGAAGATCAACACTGTTTGCTTTCATTTCAATACTCGACAAATGAACCATCTCATTCCATGGTGGCTCGATAATTAGCTTTGTAATCGTGAATTATCATCGGCTCTGAATTCTCGTCGTCGTTTTGGTTTGGGACATTGAATCTGAGAGTTAGCTCTTGGATTTTTTTTGAAAACTCTTCGTCGTAGAATGGATCTAAATTTGCGCTATAAACTCTTCGAATCGAATGAGTTTTGATCGGTCTAGATGATGATGATGATGATGATTCCCATAGCTCACAGGATTTGGAGCGGTGAAGCTTCGTCGACGGAGTTCCGAAAAAATTGTCCCCGAGTGTAATAAAATTTGTCCCTGAATGTAACAAAAATTGTCCCCGAGTGTAATTAATGCAGCTGTCCTTTTTTCTGACACATCAGTCTGTCGCCATCAAGGGCAAACTCGTCCATAAATTATCACATGGCAAAAAAAGTGGTAGAAACAGAAAACCTTTTCCAATTGTGGTAGATTTCAAAGGGAATCGTCAGAAAGTGGTACATTTGCCAAGATTCCCAAAAATTAATTCATTTTTTTGGTCTTTTATTCTTGATCCGTTGTTAAATAACGTGAACATATACATATGGCGCGAAAGATTAGTCAAAAATTAATTATGATATAATTGAAATTCATTTTAAATTAGAGTTGACTTGGAAATACGTGCCAATATTGGACCGTTGGATATTACTTAGTGTGATGATCAACGGTCCAGTGTTTAGTGACGTGGCGAATATAATAAGCGAAGTTACATGGAATTATTATTAGTTTTCGAGTCATGTGCTATAGACTATAGTACATGTCACCCACTACTTTATATTTTAATCCATTTTTAATTGTGTAGTCAACCTTAATTATTTTCTCCATATAGTTTTATTCATTTGTTTACTGAATTTTTTTTTAATACTGTTGTTATTTTTTTTTTTGGTGGGCTTTAATACTGTTGTTATTAGTTGATGCTTCATCTATGTGATTAGATTTTTATTTTAAATGAAAATTGTTGGCACTTGTTGGGCTTATTTAAGAATCATAACGAGGATATGATTTGATGTACTCTTAGTTGGGCCTAAATCATTCATAATCATAAAAGAAAATGATGACCTACAGATTTCAATAGCATAAGATTTTAGGTGTTTTTGGTAAAACACCAGTTGAATAAACCTAAGATTTTTTAAAAAAATATGTAAATAGTATAATCAATAACAATGTATTTTTATAATTATATAAAATCTACTACCATGAAATTATTTAAAGGAAATTCATTCTAAATGTTTGAACAAATACAGTTTTTCATGCCAAATTTTTGGATGAATACGAGTTTTGCATTCCAAATGTTTGGATCAATTGATGTTGATATTGGTGAAAATAATGTGGCTATTTCCAACCTAACCCGATCCGGTCCGACACGAAATTCCGATTTATCCAACATCATGATCTCATGTACAATATATATGTAACAAATTTTCTGTACCGGAAAAAAGGAAACTCGGTATGAAGTAAAAACTATTCCGGTTTTCAGAATTTATGTTGACGAGTAGGATGAACAACAATAAGCCCCTGCACAATTGAACATAATCCAAAAAAAAACCATCAAATTTATCAAAACATATAAAAATACCAAAAAGAGACAAAGATTCTTAAGAAAGTTCTTAAAACTGGGACTGATTAATACATACCTCTGAGTAGCGAACATGATCATGGTGTGTATTCGATGTTTTCACAATCGTCTCCCAATGTATAGACTGAGATTCCGTCTTTTGCTCCATCTTCTTCTTGAAACGGGCGGCTTGACCGGAGACGACGACGGCAAATTGGCCGGAGACTACGGAGGAGGTGGTCGAGCTTCTAGGAAGCGTCCGGCAAAGCCACGACTCTGAAGGAGTTTTAGGCAATGGAGGTTGAGAAACAGAGAGATTTTCTGACCTGTTTTTGTTTCTGTTGCTCCTTCTCTTTACTTCTTCCACAAGAAACCTAATTTCTTGTCTCTGATTCTGATCGGTTGTTCGTTGCAACCTCGGAGGATTTCTCGGGATCTTGAATGTTTCGCCGGATTTCGGTAGAGAATTTTTGGATTTCTCTGTTGAAAATCTTGGTGTTGCATTGATTTCTTGAGACTTACTCATAACCTTGTTTGATTTCAAGATTCTCGGTGATGCTGATTTTGTTTTGTAAACAGAATCTAGCGATTTCGGGTTAATGATATTCCCCGATTTTACTCCAGTATCCTGACATGTCTTGATCCGAGAAAGAACCGGATTAAGAACATCCACTGAGTTCTTGGAACAGAACCATGGCAAGAACCCTAATTGAGCTTTCTTGGAATCATTTGAGTAAACCGTTGCATCAATACCATCGACATGATTATGATCATAATCATCATCATCATCGTTGTTCAAATCTTGATTAATTGCCATAGAGACTCTCTGTAGAGCAATGCTCTGTTTCTTCTTCTTCTCCTCTTTAACTCGAGAAGCTTCTTTCTTCTTTTTCAAGGCGATTGCTTCCGCGGCTGGTAAAAATCTCGACATGATGAGATCACGATATTCATGAATGACGTCATCTCTTGATACATCATAACTCGATCTGTCTCCATCTCCATTCTTCTCGAACTCACTTACTCCACTTGAACTGCAATTAACAGAGAAACTTGCGGTTGAAGAAACCATCTCCAAAGCTTTGATTAGGTCTAATTCTTCGATTAGTGTATCTTGATCCTTTGGCTTTCCAGGTGTTTGTTCCCATTTGAAAGGAACTGAAGATGGTTCCATTACATGGTCGAAACTCTGGTCTTGTAATAATCGAATGAGAGTTTCATGCTCTGTTTCTTGACACGAATCTTTGAGTTTTCTCCTTCTCGTTGTCGTCGTCTTCTTCTTGGTGTTCTCTGATTCGTTTGGATTCTCTGGTTTAGTTGGAACTCGCCTCACGGATAGGAATGGAGCATCTAAATTTAGTTTCTTCTCCTCCATTGTTGCTTCTGATAAAAATTCTTTCAAGAACTCTCTTTAACAAAAAAAAATAAAAAACTTTAAAGAAAGTTCAAGAATCAAGAATGTGTAAAATGAATAAATAAAATAATGAAAAGGAATCTAAAGAGTTAGTGATGTTTTCTGCTCTGCTATCAGAGATATAACACCATTTGTTAGAAAACAAAAAAAGATTTAAAGAAATTATATGGGCCTATAGGGAGGACTGGAAAATGAATGTTAGGGGACTAAAGAGTCAGTCAATAAATAAAAGTGTCTCTATGGTAAATTTTAGAATGATCGCAGTAAAAAAATCAATTATAGTTTGATTAATAAAAAATGGTGGTATGAAAGAATTGATGGAATGATAATTATATTTAAATTAAAAATTAAAGAAGAATAATAAAAAGAAAAATTAGATATCTTTTTTTTGATAAACCCTATCGGCTATCCGGTCGGCCCCGGTAGGAACGCACCGAAGTGCTACATAGTGGACTGGTCCACCGTGTTAACGGCTAGGCCATTCGGGCTACCACTCTGTCTATCCCGAGTTTGGAATGCCTTCCGACTAAGTGCCAGAGGATAATCAGGCCGCTTGCATTTCTGACTACCAGGTAAACCAATTGGGCTTTGGCCCAATTGACAGACTACCCACAATAATGTTGATAACAACAGGTGGAGTCGAAGCCGGGGTGGAGGGAATTTCACCCAAACAACCAGGGCCCGCCAACCACTCGCCCACCACCATGTGGGTAAATTAGATATCTTCAACTTCAAGATTTTGTTTGAATAAATATGACTTTCGAATTTCGATAGGATCAATTCAAGTTTTGTTGTTGGACTGTTATGTGCTTGTCATTCTCGTGAACAACTCCATTGATTGAAATTCTAAACATATTGGAAATGACATTTCGTGTTATAGTAAACGACATTGTTAATATTCCATAACAAATCATACCAAAACAATATATGTAGTCCAAAACAAATAAGTTCTTATCATTAACGTAATTATCCGTGGCACGTGAATAGTGGTTTTGGCTTAAGCTGTTAGTCTAAATGTATGATTCTGACGGAAAAAAATGCGAAATGACGGAAAACTAAGGGAAAATTAATTTACAAAGTGGGATGAAATATGCATATTCAGAACTCAAAAGTCGTATAACAAAATTATTTGTGCGATCCAAAAAATTTCGAGAAATGATAGAATATTAGACAAAATTTTAAAATATATATGTATACTTAAAAGTGAATAAATATTATAATAGAATTTAAAATATATTTAAAAAAATTAAAAACGTGTGCACATTTTAAATATTATTTGAAATAATTGACATATTTTTCGTTATAAACAATTCTTTTTCGTTTTTAATAGTGATTGTTTGCATGGATAAAATAAAAAAATTTAATGTCCTACTACTTATTTTTTTTATCCTACTACTTATAAAATAAGCTACTCATAGACACTTATTTGCTAAATGTATTTTTGTTTTAGCTTTTATGCCACAACGCATGCAACATGAGTTTCTAGGTTTTATTTAGCATTCCGCTGAATTCTTATACTGATAAAATGTTTGAAAAAAAAAAAAAAAAAAAAAAAAAAAAAATGTTTGAAAAATCGTGTTAAGAATATCATTTTATCACGTCACGTCGTTTACTAAACAAGACTAAAATAAATAAAGGTCTTACTTTTTAATAACTTCGATAATCTCATAGCATCATCGTTGTTGAAATATTGCTTTTACTTCACATTATTACCAATCATATAATTTAGTAAAATTTATTCTTATCAGTTATCTCCCATACATTCTTCCATACTTGCATTTTTATTATCAAAAATATATTCGTCCAGTAGTACACTTGTTATTCTAACTTGACGTAAACTTGTCTCACTCTTGAGTTCTTTATAAAATTCCAAGTCTAGAAATTTTCGTTTACTATACACAATATTTTATTATCTTTTTTTTTATTTTTTCTTTTGGAGTTTATGGATCGGAAGAAAGAGCATATATGACAATTTACTTAAACACATCAATTTAATCGGTCACAGAGAACTATATTAATTATGTCGGATTCAAAAATAACATTGCGTAATGTTAGGGAAAAGGACTGAAAATGCTATAGTAATAAATAATACTTTCATCCTTCTATTTTGAATATATAATATGATATATATATATATATATATATATATATATATATAATTCGATATTCGATTAGATATACTTCAAAATTTTGGATAACCGGGTAGTAAAGTTTCTAGAGGAAGATTTGTTGGATGTATAATTTTGATATTTTAACTATATATTAAATTAAATAAATTTTAAAACTATGAGATTTTTTTATTTTAAGTTTGTTTTAGATGATTTCTTATATATATCAGGTCCGGAAATCTACAAATATCTTAAATTTTCTTTCGAACTTCAAATACTCTACAATTCACAAAGCAGAAGTTTAATTAGATCAAGATAATTACATTTTATGACTATAGGACAAATCTAAATACCCAATTTTCAGAATATGTAAGTCATTTTTATTAATTCTTCATCAGATAGACCAATTCATAAATAATGTAACACATGCTTTCGTCATTTTCGGGGCCACGCAACGTTTTTGATAATTATTTTAGCTCTTTGCATAATGTCACACCATGCTATATTTATTCATCTTAAATCATGTCCAATCATTATTTTATTTTCCTTTTTATTTTCATTTTCTTTTGCTAGAAGATATTATTTCTTGCTGTTAAAAAAAACATACCGTATATAGCCCATAGTAATAGTATACATGATTTTTTTTTTTTTTTCATCTGTTTTTATTAGAATTATCAAGAAAACATACAAGTCAAGAGACATACAGAAGCCGGCGGATAAAACACTATCCCCAGAGACAAAGCCCAAAAGAGGAAAACCTAAGCCCTAAGAAACAGGGAACCAAATTACCAAAAACGGTAAAGACAACAAGATAAACTCGCTAAAGGAAGAAATTGGGACTAGGCCTGGGCGTTCGGATATTCGGGTCGGGTTCGGGTCGGGTTTTTCGGGTTCGGGTTTTTCGGGTTTAGAAAACTAAAACCCGTTCGGGTATTTTAAAACTTCGGGTTCGGATCGGGTTCGGATCGGGTATTTCGGGTTCGGATTCGGGTTTACCCGAAGTATCCAAATATTTAAAAATTTGTATCCGATTCTATGAAAAGTATTGAAAATACTCAGAAAATCTATAAATTTTAAGTATTTTATACCCTAATCTAACCAAAAGTAGCTAAAACACCCGAAAAGATCTTAACATCCGAATAATTTAGACACTTAGACTATTACAAGTATAAATATTACTAATTTATTATAGCTATGTATTTATATTTCGGATATGTTCGGGTACTTGTTCGGGTTCGAGTTCGGGTCGGGTTCGGGTTCGGGTTTTCGGGTTGTGAAGTTTAGAACCCGTTCGGGTATTTTAAAACTTCGGGTTCGGATTCGGGTCGGGTTTTTCAGGTCGGGTTCGGTTCGGTTCTTCGGGTTCGGGTATTATGCCCAGGCCTAATTGGGACCAATGCACTACAGCTGCCCAACTGTTCCAAAGAAGCTCCAACTAAACATTCCCAAAGAACCATGTGTAAGTCGGATAGCAGCAATAAGACCGGTAATGCCACAAAAATAAGACATCCTTCCGAAGTCGAACCGCTAGGAACGAAAGCAAGAACCAAATGAAACCAAAGAGACAACAACCACAACAATCACGCCATACCAAAGCACACGAGGAGATGGAAATAAAACTAGGACCAAGGGAGACCCTTGAGATTCGCCACAAGACAAGCCATATAAGACAAACACCTCTTGCACGCGGGCATTCGCCGACCCAGTTTCAGCCACCTACAGCCATAAAACCAGTGACAACACCGCCAGAGAAGAAGAGAAGGCCGATTCCATTGCTTCGCCTATAACCCAAAACCACAACCACAAAGGAGCCACGGAAGAAAGCTTGTAGATGACTTAGCAACAAAACACCAAATGAATGGCAAGCAAACATAACGAAAACTAGCAACAACAACTCCTTGAAACTCTTAAATGACCCAAAAACGTAGAAGAGCAAAGGTCACAGTCACGATCCAAAGCAGAAGGAAATGACTCGCGCATAACACGCAGCCATCGACCAAGAGACCCTCTGAGCAAGCCAAATCCAAATAAACAAAGCCGCACAAACAACTACCCCTAAGGGAAGGAAACTAAAACCAGACCATCTAGTCCAAGAAAAGCGGAAAAGAAACCAGACCCGAAGGTCGACAAATCGAACTGAAGCCAAAACGACACCACAGCCAAGAACTGACAAAACCTGAGAATCTGAAAACGAAACTTAAATCAGAGACTCACAAACGACTCTCACCGGAGAAGGTGGCCGTCGAGCAAGCCAAAAGGCCCTCCACAAGGTGTCGCCGTCTCAGCCCAACGAAATTCCTCACCACGAAAACCTGGAGCTAGATAGATCGGGACCAAAAGCAACGGATCCAGAAAATAGAGAGCAAAAGGGCCCTCTCACAGTAGCGGCGATGAGCGCCGACCACCGGAAAGGGCCAACGGAAGGCTGAAGAGACTACGGCGGCTGCTAGGGTTTTTGAGAGAGAAAAAAGGGGTCTCGTGTAATACAGTGAATGAGTTTATTATGTTGAACGTAATAGTATACATGATTTATCATTGACCAAATTACTTCTGCATTTTTCATAGTGTTAGAGCACTTCTAATGGAGAGTTCTTAAGTAAAGTTCTTAACATTAAACAATTAAAAATAATGAAAACGAAAAAAATTGAGTAAAGATGGGTTCTTGAAGTTCTTGTTTTAGAACCCATAATATTTTGTTTAGAATCCCAAAATGCCATATGTCTAATTATAATTGTTCACTTTTATTTATTTCTTAAGAATTTAATCAAATAACAAAAATAAACTAAGGGGGGTGTATTGGACTTGATATTTTAGGAGATTTGGGGGAATTTAAGATTTGAGAGATTTGAGTGAGTTTTTAGGGAATTTTGATTTTTTTTAGAGTTTCTATATATAAAAACGAAAAGTTACGGGTGATTTGTTGGGATTCTATTATTAAACTTTTGGTGATTTTAGGATTTTTTAAGAACAAAAAAAAGGAAAATTTGTCTCTAAAAATCTCAACCAATGTCTAGGCCAAATTTGTTTCACTTTTTCTCCCACATTCTCCCCTCCATATCCACATATATGATGACAAGAAATACGATGTCTATGTCTATGTTTGAACGATGATATATACAGCAACCACAAAAATCATCACCACAATAACAACTTCAATGGCAATATGAGTGCCATACGTTCCTCCTCCAACATCAATGTTCGTGCCATCACAATAGCATTACCGACGATGACAACAAAGAAACACCATCGTCCGATTCTCATCATCACATGGACAATAACATAGCCAACCAAAACAACGCTGCCCGTGTTCAATGATCATCACATGGAAAATCTCATGTTCAATGTTGTTATTTTTCTAGAGTAAAAGAGGACTAGAGTAAACGAAAATAAAAAACCTGCATATTGAGCAACATCTTGAACTGCAGGCATAACATCATAACGAGAGCACTCATCACCATCAACCAATGATACTTTGAGTTGCTATGTATGACCGCTGGATTCACATGACCACCAAGGATCTTCCAAGAGATGTACACCGACAACGATAACGACACCAACGACGATAACGCAAACGCAATTGTAATCGCCGGTATTTCAACACCAAACTGACTAGACACATCACCAGCCAGCACAAGCCTTTTTTGTTTAGCTAGTTGCAGCGTTTAAGCAATTATTTTCATTGACTGTATAGATCCATAGAGAGAAATCTCTACTTTAGAATGACACAAACTCGAAGACGACCATCGTGATGGCTAAAAGTTGTGATAATTCTATCTAAATAAAGAGGTCATATCCTAGAAACAGTTTAAGCAGCACTAATGATTCGAATACGACCATAAAGAACATTGGAAAGATTAATACATGATCCTTCCATGCCTTAAGTGAAACATTTGCATCAAAATCCTCAACAGTCATGAGTTCCATTGTTATCAAGTTCACCACATTACCTCCAAATTTGTCTTCTTTTCCATTTAGTAATGATATTTGGTCCATACCAGAGTATCCATCCAAGTAAAAGGATATATCTGTGAAAAAAACAAGTAAAGCAATGTTTTTTCCAAACTCATCCAATTGAGATTCTAATCGGTCCCCAAAATTTCATATACAAGTAAGAGAGAGAAGTAATTTGTGGGAAAGAATGGAGAGAGACACTTCAGCTTTTATACACATTCAAAAAGACGACGTTGAAAGGTTTCGAGAGTTACCAGGCAATGATTTGGTAATAGACTAACAAAGAGGATGAAGAAGAAGTCACCGGCCTGAGAAGAAGTCAGAAGCAAGTGATTTGATGAAGGTGATGAAGGTCCTTTGCCTTGCACTCGTGTAGATTTTGATTTGATGAAGCTGTTGTAAATCTAGTAAGGATGACAGAAAAAGGATTGACGAATTGGGGAATTTGAAATTAATGGAGATTTCAGGAGAAATAAAAATGAATCGAAGGATTTTGGCAATTGAAGAGGATGACTGCGAGTGACGCGAGAAAATTCTATGGAGGAAAAGAAGAGATGGAAGTCCCAAACTCAATTCATGTCTAATCTATAAAATTGAAATTACGAATCTGTAGATTCTTCAATTATCTCTTCGATTGCTCTTGTAAGATGTTCAATGGATGAAGAAAATAATAGAAAAGTGATTGAAGATGGCTTTTCATATTGTTTCCCGACACAGATTTTTTTTTTTTGAAATTCTTCAAATACCACCTGTATAGGTGCGATTGTTTTAGTTATATTTTTCAACTAAAACAGTATAAAAACTCTTCTAAAATCAGTTTCACTAACTTCTTATGCAAATATTGTGATATTTTGAATAACAACAGATTTGATCTGAGATTTAAAAATTGTTGGTTGAATAACAAGAGATTGTGAATAATTTTAGATGACTTTACCTAAATTTGTATTTGAATAACATAGGATTTGAGGAGACTTTTAAAAATCATCACTTGAATAACAACTGATTTTAAGAATAGCCCAAAATCTCCTAAAATACCAAGTCCAATACACCCCCCTAAAAGTAATACTCCCTCTGTCCCATTTTATTAGATGTTTGGACTAAAAGCACAAATATTAAGAAACAATAAATGTTTTCTCATTTATGAAAATTCAACCAATAGAAAAAGATACTACATAATTAAAAACTATTAAAAACCATTAAACTAATATAATTCATGCATTGAAAGTAGAGAAAATCTTATATAATGAAACAAATGAAAAGTCCTAAAACATCTTATATATTGGGACAGAGAGAGTATTATAGTATTAATAAGATATTCTTAGTGAGTATCTAACTATTGGAAGTGGTCTTATATGTTGTAACTTAGACCATCTGCATTGGGGGATCACCCCCCCCCTGATCTAAGCATTATTTAAATCCAAAAAAATGGGTTAATGGGCTTAAGATCAGGAACTGGGCTCTTGACCTGGATCTGTTCTTGTGGGTGTTGCGGGGTGACGTGGCATTTGGGCATTGGTTGGAATATTCAACATATTTGGAATAAATTTGGATAATAAACTACTCCCTCCGTATTTTAATAAGTGTCGTTTTAGAATTTTTATTTTTTTGAATTGGATGTCGTTTTCAAATTTCTATGCAAAATTTCTTACTTTTTAAAGGAAATCATGAAAGTATATTGGTAAACAAAAAAAATCACCAAATACTTTTTGCTTTTCTAAAACAATTCCCAAAACGAAGCAAGGCGTACCTTCGTGTAATCAATAATGTGGACCGTAGATGCCTCGAAACAAGGTGAAGAAGATAACAAATTATTAATATTGTCATTTATTATAATTTATTAAACACCAAACTCTTCAAAAGTGTCTGTAAATGTGCATTCAATTCACCAGCGGCAATTTTGTTTCTTATGTAGAAAAAAAGGACCAACGTTTTAATGGAGTGTTTTTAAAAAAAAAAAAATCTAAAAAAGGAAAGAAAGTTATCACAAGTTTGTTTTCTTTTTTTTTTTTTTTTTTTTTTTTTTTCATTACATCATATTTTAACATTTATAAATTTACCAATAAATGATATTATTTTCTTTTATTTTAACCAATAAACGATTTACTTGACAACAATAAACAAAATTTGTATTTTTTTTTGAAAATAATCGATATAATACTTAAATATGATATAAGGAGAAATTTTTTTTACTACATGTAATATTGGTATAATTTCGAATCCACAATACCTTTTGTAATTGACGTTTTGTAATTTTAATACAAAATTTAAATTCATTTTCTCCTTTAATTGTTGTTAGCTAATAACAAAATATTAGGGTTAAAGGAAAAAATGAATTCATAAATTATAATTAATAATTTTTTTTCTTGGGTATAAGTAATAATTTCAATTCATTTTCTCCTATAAATAATTTTAATAACAATATATTAGCAAATAAAAGGTGAATAAGCATAAACTCCACCTGTGATTTTATTGAATTTAAATTGGAAAATATAAAATCACATGTAGAAAATATTTTATATAGAGAGGAAGTTGCATATATATGGTGTTTTTAGTATAAAAGAAAAAGTTAATCCAAGAAAATATTTCATCGAGTATGTTTGTAGATGGATTATAATTTATTAACATGTTTAATGATAATAAATAATATGTCGCAGATTCATACGATGAAATAGATGTTCCATAAATTTGATAACTTTTATTATTTTTTTTTAATTTTTTTTTTTTTAACTTTTATTATTGTTAAGAAAATTTTCTATTAAAATGTTAAAATTGAAGGAAAAAAATATACAAAGGTGTTCCAGGAAGTTTTTTTTATCAGCCCAGCAATAAAAGGGAATAATGGAACCAAAAATGAACTAGATTACAACCAAATAACCTTCTAATCTATGTTCAAGTAATATTTTTTATATAACTGCGAAATTCGGATCATAACCTTCTAATCTATGTCCGCATGAAGGATATCTTTACACTCCTTTTTTTTAGAATAACCATTTCTCCAAAGTAGATTGGAAGTCATGATCTCTTTATTAATGTTTTTGATATCTTTTATCACTACTTAATAATTTATTTACACATATATATATATATATATATGTATGTATGTATAATTTGTTTGAAAATTAGTAATTAATTACTTAAAAACTTTGGAGGCTTGGACAAAAAAAAAACCACCGACCTCTACATTTAATGTGTACAAGACTTTCAAATTTTGAGCATGTTTCATTAACCGGAAAACAAAAACAATACCCTAAATTTGCGGAGGTGAAAAGGACAGGGTAGAACTAGTGATTGTCTTTCTTCACATGACAACTACTCTTAGATATCGTGGAAGATCCATTGCCTATCGTTCAAAAGCTCTGAGCCCACCAAAGAATCTATTTCTAGATTTCTACCACATCAAAATTACATATACGATAACATTAATTGTTACAGTATTTGTACTTTTATTTTAGTTTTTTAAAATATTACAAAAGTTTGAGTGCAACAGAATAAAAAAATGAAATAAAAGAACAAACGTAACATACTAATAAGGACATACTAGTTAAGTTACTTTTTTTTTTTTTTTTTTTTTTTTTTTTTTTGTGAACACTAGTTAAGTTACTAACAAATACATATATCTAGTAGACTAGTATTATACATACACTTACTTATTTCCCCTCGAACATGACTATTGGTAGTTGCTATCCTAAACCTGATTTTAATTCTTAAAACTAGCATTATATAATCTAAAAATTACAACTTTAGATGAGCCACCATCTTCTCCGAGAGCTTAGCCAATGACTTAAGATTAAACCCAACGATAGTATCAGCAAAAGACGTCGTTTCGTCCTCACTATTTCCTTCTGGCACATCCACCACATAACTCTCCACCACCACCGTCTTCTCCTCCTCATCCGCCGCCATAAACGCCATCGTTTTCGACTTGTAATTAACCAAACGATGATCACCACCTATAATACTAATTACCATCATATGAGACTCATCGTCAAGTTCATCTAACCTCTCTCGGCTGAAATCCGCCGGAAGACCGGAAACCACCGTCACTTCACGGACGGAGCCTGCTCCTCCATCGCCGGAGCTTAGATTGCACGTTTTCACGAATTGTTTGTAAGCTTGAGGGTTATCAAAACGACGTAGTATCGACCAAACTGTGGATAATGGAGCATCTATAGTTTGTACTAGTGTGGAACCGCACTTATGATATTTTTGAGAAGTTTCCATTTGTGTTTGCTGGTATTTTGACGAGACTATATTGTCCTTTTTATCGACCGTTGTTTTGTATGATAATATCTTTAAATCTTTATGAAGCTTCATCGACCGTTGTTTTTGTATGATAATATCTTTAAATCTTTATGAAGCTTCATCGACCGTTGTTTTTGTATGATAATATCTTTAAATCTTTATGAAGCTTCCATGCATTAGTGTTTAAATATCTATATGAGAAATCTTTAGCAAAAAAAATATCTATATGAGAAATATCTAGAACAAGGCCGACTAAAAATAATAATATGAGCAGTAAAAAAAAACTTTGTTGATTTGTATAACATAAGATGATAAAAAGAAATTCAAAGTAAATTGTTATACATATATATATATATATATATATTTAAAAGAGTACATTGTAATATGCAGATAAAACCAAAAAAATACTTTAAAAGAAAGACTGATTAATCAGTGTAGGATGTGTAGCATATGATGACTATATATAGTTGTCTTTTTTTTTTTTTTTTTTTTTGTCATCGACTATATATAGTTGTCCATAAAATATATTTATATAACACTAAATTATAAACTTTAAAATGAAAATTTGTTTTGTAACGTCATTGTAATGAAGAATGTATCTCGGTTAAATTTGGAGGGTTATGACATGGAATGTGAAAAACTAGTGGCATACAATGGATCCACGTTTTCGCTTAATGAGCCTACAATATAACGATCCATTTGAAGCCCAAAACAGCATCACTTTTTTTCAGAAGGTAAAGATAATTTAACTGGAAACCGATAAAAATGGTTAAAGAATCTCAGAATCGCAATCTCACATTTTCAAATCTCTTTCATTTTAATTTGAATCAAAAACAAAAATAGACACATAATAAAATAAAATGAAACAGATTAAAAAACGTTTACGAGTTCACTCGATCAATATAATTAGAGATGAAACGAATTTCGGTAAGACTTTTGCATGCAATCTATTTTTTTTTTTTTTTTTTTTTTTTTTATAACTCAGGTGATCCTAAAGGCTTTCTAGGTCCAAAGACTAATCCTGGGGTCCGGGGAAACCATGTTAAATTGCTCGAACTCCCGTGGCCAATGCTACTCGAACCCAGGTGATCTTTTTTTTTTTTTTCCTCAAACACCATTTTCATTAAAAAATCGGAAAGAGACTCTCCGGTAGGGAGAGCCAATCAGGAACCGATGTTCTTACATGAGAAAAAAAGCTGTTTCGAGCCCGGACTTTTTTAGCTAAACAATCAGCCCGACTATTTAAAATCCGAGGAATAAATCTAATACTAAAAGAAGGAAAGGAACAACAAAGGGACCGGAAAGAGGCCAATTCCGCTGCAAAGGTTGGCCACTCATCTTGAGAATCAAGGAGAGAGATCAGATTTGAACAATCAGAGGCAAAAGCACCAGTGAGATCGCCAATCGAGATCATGCATTCCATTGCCCAGAGCAGGGAGTCAAACTCCGTGTGAAGCGGTGACAAACTTCGGCGAGCACTTTTTAGCCCTAGATGACAGATTCTATCATGTCCAACAAGAACCCAACCGAACCCACTCAGAGTATCCTCCAAATGCCAGGAAGCATCAAACTGACACTCCGAGGTCAGAAGAGGAGAGGGTTGAGCTGGTACCGGGAGGAGAAGTGATTCTTCGGGAGAGCTTTCTTTCAGGATTGCTTGTTTCCAAGCAGTCGCCTCCTGAATTGCCAGGGCTAAAGTTTCTTGGGGAGGTTCTTTAAAGTTTTCAAATACAAATCTATTCCGACTTTTCCATATATACCATAGTATCCATGGAAAAAGATCAAGAACTTCCTCTTATATTCCGAATTCTTTTCCTCGCCAGAAAAGAAAATCAAAATTATAGAAGATGGAATTTCTAGGGAAAATGTGCTCTGAGGAAGGAATATGAGACAATGCCCAAATCTGTCTTGAGGGCGGGCAGACAAAGAGGAGATGATTTATTGATTCCTCTGGTCCTCCACACCGAGGACATCCTTTATCTGTACCAATATGTCGGTATGAAAGTCTTTGGCATGTGGCTAAACATCCCGAGATACATTGCCACGCGAAATGCATAAGCTTCCGCGTAGTTTTAAGCTTCCATACTTGTGCCTGAAGTGCCGAAAAGGGGGGTCACAAGTAGGAAGAGATAAATCTCGCGCGGCCCAGTATCCTGACTTAAAAGTATAATTGCCGGACTTAGTATGAGACCAACTAAAACCATCACTCAAATAGGTACGACTTGGGCGAATCCCTAGGATGAGTGGGATATCAGCAGGATCGATCAAATCTTGAAGACGATCCAGTTTCCACATGTGTGTGGTTTGGTCGATTAGGTCATTGACATAGAGGTGAGGATCTCTTGTGGCAAGAATACTCTTAGCGGGTCTAGCAGGAATTGTAGGAATCCAGGGATCTTCCCAAACTTTGGTAAGCATACCGGAGCCGATAGTTCTCCGAAGTCCAGAGACCAAGAGGGGTTTGGCAGCCATGATGCTTCTTCATCCGTATGAAGGCCAGTTAGAAGTTCCTATATGTAACGGGTCACTAAAACAAAAGTAGCGACCCCTCAGAACCCTGCTTAAGAGGGAGTTTGGGAATCTGATAAGGCGCCACAATTGCTTAGCTAAAAGAGCTAGATTAAATTATTCAAGTGTTCTAAAGCCAAGGCCTCCATCAGAATATGGGGAGCAGAGTTTATAACAATGGCATGCAATCTATCAAGGCCGTCTTTTAGCATGTGTAAGTAGGATAATTGAACAATCCTAATTTTGTTTAAGAAAATCATTAAATTAAATATGTATATAAAGTGAGGTTTAATTTTTTTAAAAATTTTGTTTACCAACTATCGTCAATAAATTTTTAAATATTACCTACAATTACAAATAGTTTGAAATGGCCCTTCAATCTACTAGAATATAATGATTTTCTTCTTGTGAGAAAAAGTGTAAACAATTGAGCTACAACCAAATATAACAGAATTTAAATTATTTTGCCTCTTTAAAAACGAGTTGTTGGAGACCAAGGCTTAATTACATTAATTACCACTCTAGTCGACAAAAAAAAAATTGGACCATTAAATCTTTTTATTTTATTTTAAGGTGAATTATATATGTTTGATTTCTTCACTTGCACATGCTAAAAAACGCTATTTCGCATTAAATTTCAAATGAAAAGGTAAGACACAGAACGAATTAGAGTATCTTAAGGCCGTGAATGGAGAACACGTTTCGGGGCGGATCTTGTAAAACCGCACTTACATCTTCCATTCGGTTATCTGCTCGGTTATCGGTTCGTATCCATTCGGTTTTGGTTCTAAAATTTAGTATCCATTCGGTTATTTTGCTTTGGATATTTTCGAATATTTCGGTTATTTTTTGGTATTTTTGGATATTTCGGTTATTTTTTGGTATTTTCGAGTATTTTTACTATTTTTATATATTTTCAAGTATTTTTTTTATTATTTGGTCTATAAATAACTAGTATTTTTGATTATTTGGTCTATAAATAACTAATACTTTTGAAAATATAATTGTATTTCGGGTATTTCAGTTACCCGAAATATGTCGGTTCGGTACCAATTCGGTTACGGTTCTTTCGGTTATTGAATTTAATCATTCGATTATTTTCAAATTTTCTGTTCGATTTGATTTTGTTTTTTTTGCTTTGGTTTCAATTTCGGTACATTCGGTTCGGTTAATTTGCCCACCATATAAATACATAATTATACAACCTACTAGATGTTAACCCGCGGTGTACCGCGGGCCTATATGTTAATTGAATAAAAAAACTAATATTTTTAAAAAGATGATTTATAGATATATGCTATTGTTTTGTTTTATCTAAATGTATGGTACACAGCATGACGATATTTTATAACTAAAAAATTAAAATTTTAAGTTGTATTTGTTTTGTTTAGTGTTTAAGATTGTATAATTGTATTTTGATTGTTAATTCTAGAATTTTACCCATAAAATATAATCCCCGTATTAATATCGACCTAAATCCGTCCCACCATATAACCTCATCCCATGAAATTAAACTTCATTTTGTAATTTTTTTATAAAGTTCAAATATTTATAATATTTGAAACTGCAGTCAAGTTTTAACTTTTAATATTGACTCAAACTTCATAATTAAATTTTGATTGTTATATCTAGGATTTCATCCGTAGTATACCGTCTCGTATTAATATCTTTTATAAATATTTAGAATGTTTAAACTTCTTATAAATTTTTATAAAATTCAAATATTTATAATATTTGAAACTTCATAAATGTTTTAATATTTAAAACGTTTAATAAAGTTTATCTTTTAAAAAAGTTTAAATAATTATAATATTTAATTATTAATAAACTTTAAATATTTAATATTTTAAAACTTTATAAAAGTTTTAATTCTTTACAATAAAGAACCGGAGTAAACCGGATAACACTTTTAATTTTGGACACCAATAATTAAAGTTTTCTTCTCATTCGTTTTCAAAATCATTTTGGTCATTTTTATAGTATCATTCTTAATCATTGCCCAATTTTTTAAGCATTGTGGTACATTGTACACCTATTTTTTTTTGCTTCATCGATTGAGTAATATATGTTTGTTTTTAAAAAAATTGAATCACATCATTGTAGGAAAATCTAATATTTTATTAATTATATGTATTTTATATAAATTCAAAATAAATCAAATATAAGATCAAATAAAAACAAAAGAAGAATCATATATTTATGTTTAAATTAAGTAGAGAAATTTGAGGAAATTAGCAATTAATTCAATCTTCAATGTAGTTAAAAAAAAGATAAGATTTAAAAGAGAATTAAGGATTTAACTAAATTTTTTAAAAAGTAGTTAAGGTAAATAACAAATATGGTTAGTTTAGAGATATCATATATATGTTTCCGATTTAGATGGTAAGTAAGTAATTAATGTCATTTTAAATTTTTGTTAAATGGTTATCATAATATAGAGATTTTTAACTTTTATAAAATTAATTATTTTGAAAACTAAAAGACAATCAATAAGAAGAAACATTACATAGCTATATTTGTGTATCATATAAAAGGGTTTAGATAATGTTTTTTTCTTTCTTTCTTTCTTTTTCCGTAAATTGTAAATCTTTTTTTTCACCTCAATAAAAGAGTCAAGCCAATTGTTATACAAAAAATCTTTATCCCCTTGGATTATCTTCCTGATTCAGCACAGATCTTTTATCGATTACACCTATGAATTAAGATTTGAAAAAAAAAACATACCAAACCAATTTAATAATCCTACAACTTCACAACCACGTGACCTTAACCCAACTCCACAATTCCGGTTTAATAATCAAATTCCAAAACACAAACAAACAATCGTACGAACCACCTGTGACAAACATCACAAGCCAACTCACGATTCCAAGTTTTGATTCTGGATTTTAATTACGAAAGGGATCTTTTGGTTTAGCTTGGTTTACTTTCACGGTTTAATAATCACAACAACACCAAGCAACACAGACACGAGAAATGGATTTGCCGGAATATATTTCTCTGCAAGTTTTCTCGATGGTTTGATCTGACAGTTCGAACGACAAAGTGGATCTGCGATGGTCCAGATCAAAACCTAATTTTGAAGAGATCCGTGTGCTATTCCACATCTTTCACCAGTTTTGATTCGAAGAGGTGATGCAAAATTGATAAACAACGACACTGGAAAATATGATTCGAAAATCCAATTATCGCATGGAGACCCAAAACAGGCTTTTGATAGAAGTAGAAATGGTTGTCGTGGTTGGTGTTTAGATCTTGTGAAATGAGAGTGTATTTATAGTGTTATGATATGTTTGTAGGGTTTTAGATTAGAGAATTTAAGAACATCTTGGTGAGCAAGTATAAAATAGCTTTACAAATCTTTAAATCGATAATATATAGAATATGCTTTATAGATGCTTCGTAGAAAATAAGAAATTTTTTTTGATTGTGCAATATTTCCTATTGTTGTTATATTTATTAAATGTAGATTTAATATTGTTCAATTTTATTAGGAAACAGAAGAGATTTACCGAATATTTTTAGCATAGAAATAGGAAAAAATGCGATTATAGAAAGATAAGTTTGAAGAGACAAATTAGGAACAAAATCGGTTTGGTAATATATTCAATTTAATTTTTAGGAATGGTAAGCATTTAAGATAATTTCGAAAATATATGTCTAATTAAAGAATTAATTTCGTTATGGTACTCGAATATATTAGGAATATTCGTATTGTTAGTTTATTTAATTCAAAAATTATAATTTGCAGATTTAAAGGAAGATCTTCTCGAGATTTTAGGAATATAATCGAGATTTTAGTAACAAATGTGATCACATTAAATTTTCGAAAGATTTGAAAGATTTGTGTCCAAATTGTTAGAAACAAATTAGGATAGATAATTTTTTGGTTAGTATCTTTTTTCATATTTTCAAATCTTTAGAATTAAACCCATTGACATTATATTCTTGAATTTATTTTTTAAAAATTACGTATTATTAAATAAAAAAATTAAATAACTAACTATTTTCATTTGATGGTGTAGACAAATTATTATTATTATTTCTGTAATTTAATTACAAATAACAAATATTAATTTTTATAACAAAACAAATTATTTTCCTAAGAACAATTTTTTCCCAAATCAATATTTTACAAAATATTTATTTTAATCACATATTCTTTCTATATAGAAATAAATAGTTAAATAATTATGGTTAGAAGTAGTTAAGGTAAATAACAAATATGGTTAGTTTAGATATATTATATATATTTCCAATTTAGGTGTTAATTAAGAATTAATGTGGTTTAAAGACAACATTCCTAAAATTTCTTATCCAAGATCCGGATAGAGTTAAACCCGGGTAAAACCCGGATCCAAATGAATTAATGCAAAAAAACCCTGTAAAAATGTATATGTAGATATTTTGCCCCGTCGAATAAGCATATTTTGTTAGTTGCTATCTAAAACCTCGTAATATAAGAGTTTTAAAATCTTAATATTAATACTAGCTATTATTACAATCACACGTCTTTTACAACTTTACGTGAGCTCCACCATCTTCTCCGATAACTTAGCCAATGACCTAAGGTTACACTTAACGATAGTATTAGCAAACAACGTCGTTTCCTCCTCAGTATTTCCTTCCGGCACATCCACCACATAACTCTCCTCCACCACCGTCTTCTCCTCCTCCGTCGCCACAAACACCATCGTCTTTGACCGGTAATTAACCAAACGATGATCACCACCAATAATGCTGATCACCATCACATGAGACTCATCGTCAAGTTCATCTAATCTTTCTAGGGTGAAACTCGCCGGAAGATCGGAAACCACCGTGACTTCACGGACAGAGCCTTCTCCTCCATCTCCCGAGCGTAGCTCGCACTTTTTCACGAACTGTTTGTATGTTTTTGGGTTATCAAAACGACGTAGGATTGACCATACTAGAGGTAATGGAGCATTGATAGTTTGTACTAATGTCGAACCGCATACATGCTGTTTTTGAGATGTTTTCATTTGTGTTTTACAATTTTGCTGTTCTACCGACCGCTGTGGTTGTTGTCTTAAATATTAATGAAGTGGCAAGTTTTAGTGTATATATATATGAGAAATATCTATAGGTCGACAAAAAGATGAGAAATATCAGTAAAACAAGGCCGACTGAAAGAAACATTTTATTTATGAAATTATGAAAGCATAACAACGAAAATTATGTAAATATTCTATATGACATAATTAAACATTCGAATAAAATATTTGGTTTAAGTAAATTGTGATATACATGCATGCATATAAAAAACAAAATACGTAAAACAGCCTGACTAAGAAATCAAACAGTGCAGCATATGATGCATAGTTATATATAAATTTTTCTACATAATTTATTTATGTGACAATCAATTGTATAATATATAGTTGTATACAAAACTATAAGAACATTTTGCGGTTAAGTTTGGCAGATTATATGACATGGACTGTGGTAAAACTAGGGGCAAATAATTGTTCCACGTTGGTTCACACGTTCCACACTTATTAATCACACATCTATAGTGTATTATAAGAAACAAATAGTTGACAGATGTTGAAAGAAAAGAAAAAAAGTTGACAAAAAGAAAAATAAACATATAATAAGAACAGGGATGAGAGGTTAGAGGTTAGACGTTAAAATTTAGACTTCATCTAAAACGGCAAGTTCAGAAACAGGCCAAGTGAGCCTAAAATTTATAGATCCATTTTAAGCCCAAGCTAGTATCACTCTTTTAGTTGTTTTTACGTTGAGGCTGGTAGTGGTAGCTCATAACGAGATAAAAAGTTAAACCAAAATGTGATTCCGGTAAATATTACTTTTTAACACCTATAGTTTGAAAACAAGCAATTTTTTTTTTCAACTCCAAATTTAAATTTCATTCAAAAAACATACATTGAGATTGACACTTCAATATAGACTGGCAAAAGAGCCAAAATCTCAATCACAACCCCACATTCTCAAATCTGTGACGATTTTGATTCGAAACAAGGACACATTTACGTTTTCACTCAATAGCGATTATAAATTAAGTTGGTTTCGGCAAAGACTTTTGCTTGCAATCTAGTATTTGAGTTCTTATAAGAGAAAATGTAAAGAAAGAAGAAGAACTTTGAACAGTTGAGTTAAATCGAATGTTATAGATTTAAAACTTTTCCCGCAAACCAAATGTGTTCGTTTGCGACAGAATATTTAAACACTCTTATACTTTCTCTATTTGTCTTGCTTTTTTTTTTACCGGTTTTCGATCTATAGATTTTTTTTACTTAATGTATGATAAAGACTACAAGCTCGTTACGACATATATATATGGCTTGTATCAATACATTTATAAAGAGTTTAGAAATGGACTCAAAAGTAAAACTATTTAACCGGGCCTGATGGCTTCAAAACTGTGTCCAAAAAATTGGAGGGTGTGTCCCCGTGCTGATCATCGAGTTCATCATCTTCTCCCTTTTTTGTCCTCTTAATACTCTCTTGATATATCTTCCAAAAAAAAAAATTACAAAAACATAAGAAAACTGCTAACTTGACCAGAAACATGACCAAAACTTCTATGGTGGAAAAAAAATCCTATTTAGGATCTAAGTTTTCAAAAAGTTCATCATGGATGTTCTAAGTCAAGAACAGCTAACCTAATGTACATTGTTACATGCATCTGATGGTCTTTAATTAAACGTTACACAAGTAAGAAGATTTTTTTTATTACTGTACATATTTGCGTTATCTAACGAATCCTCATTAATTAATCAAGCCATCCTAGATTATTATTGAGATTTAATATTAGTGATAATATTATGTAGTTATCTTTTTCCTTTGATTTAAGATGAAAACAAAAATAGTTTAGTCAGTATTATCATAAAACTTTAAATTAGGTAAAAAAAACTTAGCCATTAGACCCAACGTAAAGCTACAAGTATACCAGACCTTACACCTATTGTATAGAATACATGGCCCAATTAAGGAACACGCGGATAATTACGCTTTATTTCTGAGTAAGTAAAAAGTTAAGCTCTCTATAGACACACATAAAATATAAGACTTAATTTAGTGGTTTGGGTTGAGATTAGGTTAAAAAGCTATAGCCACAACTTTTTCTTTCTCATTTACAATTCACAGTTTCACACACGAGTAAGCCTTCAAATTTATATTTAAAGGTAGGGGATAAAATAAAATTATCTTAATAATATTAGCTGTGAATAGTAGTACTATTACCAGATGAGCAACATAATTTCTCATATGAGATTTTTTTTCATGAACTTACCTGTCAGTCACCATTAGGTTAAAACAACTGGTCCAAGTAAATTTCTTAAATTTTGTTTTCTTTATTGAATTGAAGTCTAATGATTGAGTGAAATCTAATAATGTGAATCAAGGAAATTGATTACCTTATATTGGAAAATATATATATGATTAAGATACAAGTGGACTAACGATTATGATTGTGACTTGAAGACTTTGAAATATCTTTCTTTACAACGACGTCGTTTCTGGTCTTCTTTCGTTTCCTTTTCTTCCTATACGGGATTCCACGAGCCTTAGCTTGAGACTCTCTCACTTCCCTCAAATGAATCCGAATCGACCCGTTTCCGAACGGGTTACTAACGGATGATCCACCACCATGTTCTTCGTAAGCAGCTCTTAACCGTCCGATCAAAGCATCTAAGCTTCCCCAAGCTTGCTTGAGAGGACACGTGCAAGGCGACGGTGGATCGGGTTGTCCAAAGAAGACACAAGCTTGATTATGGACTTTGGTTTTACCGAATTGGTCTAAATAGTTGAGGAAGCTTAGGACGTGTGTGTGCTCGAATCGAGAGGTTGTCACGGGTGGGTTTAGGGTTTTGAGGTATTGTAAGAACGTGTTCCAATCGCGGCTTTTCTGCGATTCGTAGCGGCTAATAACTTGCGGTTGTGGCTTGTGGTGACCGGAGTTAGAAGAGGAAGAAGGTTGATCTGGTGGCTTGTGAGAGGACATGGTTAGAGAAATTTTAGTGTAGATGAGGAAAAGAAAGGAAAATGAAATTATTTTTGGGGTTAAAAGTAAGAGAAAGAGAGATCTTGGAAAAACCTATTAGGGAAGATATGGATAGATGTTAAGTTGGCCAAAAAAAGAGAAGAGAATAAGTAGAAAAATATAAGTTTTATATTTTAAAAGAAGAAAATATTTACTAGGTTTCAGCCATATCATGCGAATATATCAAAATTCTTATTTTATTTTGATTGGTTAATTTCAAATTCCGACATAATTATCTAGGTCGACCTACATATATATATAAAGTAAACATATGCCAATATTCAAATTAAATGCAATAAAACCATAATTCAAAACTGGAAATTTGTTTAATTTATTTAAAGATTGAAAATTTTGAAATTTAAATATTGACATATGTAAAACATTTAATCAGTTAATTAATAAATGCCGTAATCTAGTTAACTAGACCTTTGTTTGTTATGGATTCTATTGAAATGCACCTAACTTTATCACGTGTCAAAATTTAATCAAAAATTAACATGTATTGTAATATAGTTAATTAAAATTTCTTCATGCGTTGAAATCTAACGAAACATGTCTAATTTTATATAATTAGATCTATATGTAATCATATAAAAAGTAAAATAAAATTTCTATAAATTAATAACGTTTGACTATAACATTTTATTTATCTATAGAATTATTAGTTTATTGATCTATTAGCTGATCCGAAAAAAAAAAGTAATAGTATAGTGAGTTTATTTCCAAAAATAGAACAAAAATAATAAAATATTTTTCAAATTTACCTTTGATAAAGAACAAAAATTTAACTTTTTTTTTTAACACCACCAAAAAAAAATAGTTTAGATTAACTACTTTCTAGTAGAATTTTATATATTTGGTTGAAATATGTAAATACATGTACTATCTGAATTCGAATAGGGCCAAGTTAAAGGCAGATTATTCAACCACATAGTACCATAATATTGGCAAATTGTCTGTTTTAAAGTAGGATTTAAACATCTGTCTAGAAAGTCTAGTGTACAAATTAAATTATAAATATGTCTGATTGATACAAATGAACCTTTCAGTCTTTTGTGGGTACCATTAAAACTTATAATGATGAAACCTAGATGTTTTTAAGCTCCAAACGATATTGATCTCTTATTATTTTTAAATATCTAATTTGGCTATCTTTATTTTGAAACAATTGCCCAGCCTATCATTGAGCAAGGACCATATTTATATGATTAGTTTTTTCTTCTTCTTCTTTTTTTTTCAAATTATATTAACATTAAAAAATTTACACAAAGTATTATTATTTTACAAACTGAAAGAAATTTAAGAGAATATATTTTATTGAGTGGGATTGAGGTGACCTGTCATTGTTGGACACACGAGAAGGTGCTTTCTTTCCATTTATGCATATTTTCTATGATTTCTTAATCACTTTTTATTAATTTGATTTTAACTATTTTATTCAAATATTTTTATATTTTTTTCTCATGGATGGACCTTTCTACACATTATTATGCTGTAAATTTTAATAATGATTTTCCCAACTGATTAATTTTAAAATTACTCATACTGTCGTAATGTTACTATCTAGCTCGAGCTTTTCATAACGCATAAAAACATATTTTTAAAGCTATTTATTGTACCACTAGCAAATAGCATGCAAATCAATCATTTGTATTATGCTGGATTGCGGGATTGCTGGATTGCTGGTATGACTCGTTGATTAGTTACGTTCATCAACTTGCTTGTCTTAGTGGTTGTTGTTGAATTAATATAGTCTAGTATATAAATTATATAGATACCTAATATTTAAATCATTCTTGTAATAATCACAATAATGTAGCTTATAACGTCGTTTTCGTCATTGTTATTTCATCGCCATCGTAGCAGCAACAACAATAAATCGACGAAATATCTAAGCAACCTCGGAAATAATCATAGGTATATCATACGTAAACTCCAGATAACTTGATTAGGTTTCTTATAAAGATATCGCCTATAAGAAGCATATTTGTTTTTGTCAAAATGAATGATTATTTAAACATATTTTAGTCTAAAGTGGACGACGCACAAAATCATGATCATCTCCACTATTTGACCTACGAGTTTCCATGGCCGCACCAAAAAAAGGAAGAAAATAAACGTATATATAATATACTCCCTCCGTATTTTAATAATTGTCGTTTTAGAAATTTTATTTTTTTGAATTGGATGTCGTTTTCAAATTTTTATGCAAAATTTATTACTTTTTAATGTTTTATGACATCATAAAACATTAAAAAGTAATAAATTTTGCATAGAAATTTGAAAACGACATCCAATTCAAAAAAATAAAATTTCTAAAACGACAATTATTAAAATACGGAGGGAGTATGTAAAAGCCCGGGATCAAAAAGGGTACGTAACATGACTATTTGAGGATCATTTGTTTTTGATGGAATTGTTTTGATATCATTAAAGTTAGGGAAAAATCCTATGAACAATCACAAACTATTTATATCTATTTTTTTTTTTAAATAGTTTTTGTTTTAGTTTGACAGAACTTAAAAAGTTATCAATATGATAGCCAAGAAACAAGACAAAATTACTCTAAACAACAACGTTACATTTGAAAGTTTAGTAAATATAAACATCCAAATGCTAAAAAAAAAAATAAAAAAAAAATCAAATGCTTTAGAGGTTAAGTGACAAGAATATCCAAAAAAATTTATATCCCTTGTTAAGTTGTGTTATATAAGTATGAGCACATCATCAATGGAATAATCAAGAAGCCGAAAATGTCTAAAAAGCATGACAATAATAATTATTGAAATAAAGATTATAAATATTTTTTAAAAAATATTGAAAATATAAGGACATTAGTAAGACAAGGACATAATAATTAAAAGACACAAATATTCGGACCACGTAAAAAAATATATGCTAACACATGGAGGTACATACACCTTTGTCGGAAAAAGTTGGCCGCCGGTGACAGGTCAGATTCCGGTAATCGGAAAACCAGATTCCGATGAATAGACCCTTGAAGCTTTATATAAATTGGACAAGATATGTAAGAGAAGATCTTGAGTGGGGGTAATATCAATTTATTTCTATATGCTTTTAGTCTACAACATCACTATATTAATCATCCACTATATACCAAAAGATAAAAATAGTCCTGCCTACCAAAAAAAAAAAAAAGATAAAAATAGTCCACTCACGTGGGACATAGGTCCATATGTTTCACCTGGGATCGTACTAATGAAATTATTTTGTTATTTTAATTCCTTACGCACTATATATATATATATATATATCTCTTTTTTTTTTTTTTTTTTTTTAAAGGATGCTCTAGTATAAAGTAGGAGGTGGATCTTATTCTTGTTTTTAGTTTATCCCCTCCATTATAAATTTGTGAAAACGTTTTTAATCTATCGACTGATTGATAAAAAGAGATTTTGAGACTTATAAATTTATATTACCAAATAAAAAAAAATTCATTATATATATTTTATATTAACGTTACAATTTTAATAAAATCCTACTGTAATGGAAGAAATATACATTGAAAACGTACAAATTTGGAGTTCTTCGGAGCTGTAAGAAAGTGGCAAACAAAAAAAAAGAAACGAGGGGACGGGATAAAAAGTAAATTATCGGAACGAACATGTTAAGCCCGATTTAGGCGCATATACTTGTTATGTTCGAAAAATCTTTAGGACAAATGAAAACCATTACCAATAACAACCAACAATAAACACATACCTTGAAAAACAGACAAAGGGTTTTAGAAACAAAAGTGAAAGCATTCTATCGAAAACCTTAAACTAGGACTAGGATTCTAACTTACCCTTCCCTATTTTTTAGATCTTCACAAGGTTTCAAATCTAAAATCTAATTTTCAACATTAAATTTCTATTTTTTTGTTCAGCAATAATGCATTATGTGAGTTTGATGAATTTGAATAAACGCAATAACAACACTAATACAAACCACTATAAAATATATCCAAGGGAAAATAAACTTCTATTACTAATGTTAATTTGTAATTAATAGATAATTACCTCAGATAATTACCTCACCCTAATTACTTTTGTATCACTCATATAAAAAATTAACAAAAAGGCGATAAATTATTGATGATATCATTATATCCATTTGTAGTAATAATAATAAACAACTTGATCGATCACATTCACAACCAAATTACTTATGTTTTAGAAAAACTTTTTTTCCTTCTAAATTTGGTATTTTTTTTAATAAACTAGTAATAAATAATTTCCTCAACCGTATGTAATCAAATTACATTGTTTTTACTATCGAACAACAAAATATTACTCACACATCAAATTAAACAAAACCAAAACGCGAAAATTAATTAATGATGATATTAATTCATTATAATGATAATAAACTTGATAAATTAAGCAAATAGAAAATCTCTCATGTCATATATGTTTTTTTTCTCTTTCTTTCGCTTAGAATGTGACGTCAGGGACAATGCCAAGCTCCTTGAAAGCAGCAGGACATTCAGCCAATGGAGTCTGAACCATGAAACCGAGAGGGTTAACGATACGTGTCTCGTGAGAGACGATTCCGTCATTCGCCGTTAAACTGATCTTAGCGGCGTTACGTAAATAAGCCTCTTTGCTGACGTCACTGCAACCACTGTCTGGTGATTGGACCAAAACAAGCTCGCAAACTTCTTCCTCGTGGTCACCGGTTACTTCCATCTTGTAGCTTCCTGTTTTGTCGGTAACAGCTTCTTTGGTCAATGTTACGGTTCCGTTTGTTCTGCTCCTGCACTCCAACTTCACTTTCGCACCTTCACAAACACACAAAAATTGTAAGAAAATAATAATAATTAGTTCGACTATAAATAGTTTGTTCAAGTGAATGGGAAATGTTTTACGATCTCTGAAATTTTCATCGTTTTCTTTTGACCACGGTAAATGTTTTAAACGGCAAAATATTCGAATTTCTATAGACCAAAAGATTTTTTTTTTTTTTTTTTTTTTTTTTTTTTTTTTTTTTTTGGGGTAAGAATATCTATCTCCGCTTAAAGCAAAAAAAAAATACAAATAATTTTGATATAAGCGAAAAGGATATATTTTGGAGATTTGAATATGTTAGGGTTAGACTCGCATCATGTCTAATGTAAATTTTAGAAACTGATGTACGAGATATTTGAAAAATGTTGTCTAAAAACATTGCATCAAAATTCGAATTTAGAAACTGATATAGTTATTTTACGACATTGCATGCATCCTCTAACATGCAAGAAGTGTGCAAGCGCATATATGCATGGGCATATCAAAACTATACTAAAAGTGACATGATATTTTCTAGATCAATTTTCTTTTCAAATGCAACGGTTGCATATGGTAAAAAAAAGCCATGCACACGTGTATATTAATATAGATACCTTCGAGGAATTTGCTGAGACGGGTAACGAATTGGACACGGCAAGTGTCACAGTAAACTGATCCCTGAATCTGGAAACGATCGAAGTCATCAGCATCAGCGGCGGCGAAACCGGCGAGAGAAGACAAACACACGGCGGAAACAACAAAGAAAGAGAAGAAGATAGCTTTGGAAGCCATTTTTTTGTTAGAGATTTTTGGTTTTGTTTTTGGTCTTCTCTTCTTTTTGATATCTCTTTTTATATTCAAACAATAAGTTGAGATATGTTTGAGAAGAGGACAACTATTCTCGTGGAGCACCGAGTTTGGTTTTATATTAGAAGCCCGAATGTTATTTTTAGATTGAAACAAAAAAGTAAAATCGTTGATTGTTAAATTTCAAAATTAGTTTCTATACGTTTTGAATAAAAGAATGATTAGTTTATTATAGCTTAATTATAGCATTGATTTCTAAATTTGTTTTTTTGACCACCCTTTTTTCTCTCTTTGGTGCAGTGTTTTCTTAAAATTAGAAGAACCCATAACTTTTAGTTTACGGTCAAATTAAATAAAAACAAATTTCTATGTTTTATAGACGAAACTTGTTCTTTTAATGAAAACAGTTGATTATGAATTATTTTCATCAGTATATCGGTATTTAAATAACATTTTCTTCACATGGTATTCATGAAGTGATAAAAAGTGTTTAGAATATGACATTAAAAAATTTTGAATGATTAATGGGTTAGTATCTTTTGGTCATACCGGGCATTCGTGTTATAGCTTTGGATCTCTCGAGAATTTGTTGGGGCCATATTTGGGCTTAAGCGTTTTGCAAAGAGACGAAGAAGAAAGATTGGGCCAAGTCAACAAAACAGAGACACACTTGGTACCTTTGGTTCAAAGGAAAAGTCGAGGTTATTGTGATTTCATTTGTTGTGTTGATTTGGCTAGGGCGATTCCTTAACAATAACAAAGTTTTACTTTTGCCACTTCGTGAAAGTTCGGTATTAACAAGAATGTGTCCTTATTTTATTTGTATGTTTGTGTAAGAAAAATCAATATCTCACTACAATATAAAAAAATATTCTAATCATTATATTTGTAAATATGCAGTTATTTGTCAATTTCAATTTGGTATTTTAGACGTTATCACTTCAGGCAAATATGATTTGGATTTAAGTCGAAAATGCAATTTCGTACGTATCCCTCTTGTCGTCTAATGATTATTTCAATATTTCTTATATTATCCCTAACTACAATTCTACAATTTTTATTGTATTTTAAGGACACATGGAAATTTTCATAGAGATTCAAATAGATGAAATTGGTGGGAAACATCATTGAACAGGAAACTTTTAGCAAATCATATAGATTTATCTACAAAAGAATACTTAGCGTAATGAAGTTCACTTGTTGTGAATGACTATGATTCGATGATTTGATCAAATTAGTTAATGTTGTCGAATCATTTTTCTTTTTGCTTTGATTAAGCTTTTAACTTGCACGAATGGTTCTCTTGTGAATAAACGGAATCTTTGAATTCAAACTATTTAATTAGTGGAAAAGACAAAAGAAGATTCCTTGTTTTTATGTGATTAGTGACTTTGATGCATTAAAGGTACCTACGTACTACTGTACGTAACTACGTATTAACATGTACATATTAATACTACGTAGCAACCGGCAAGTATTAGAGGCGGCTTCAATTTCGATATAACAAAATCCAAAAATCCCATTTCCAACTAATGTCATACGATTGAATTCACAAAATAAATTTATAGTTACACAAAAATTTCAGTCTTAATTTTCCATTATAGCTATGATCATAATAAAACCCGGGTAAATGTATTTACATCAAATTTTATGTTGAGTGATAACAAACGTTAGTTTCAAAAAGTTTTTTTTTTTTTTTGTTTCTCCAAATAATGTATACTCATGATATCTATGTTTTTTTTTTGAAAATATAAATTAAAAATTCTTTCTTAATAATATTAATTTTAATTCTGTAAATAAGTAGATATATTTATGCAAAACATCAACACATATCCAAATTCGAAAATCTCTATAGTTCACCACAAGGTTTAGAAAATTAAAGCTTAATAGATCCAAACTTACTAATCATCAAATATATACTTGTTTACAAAACTAATTAAAGCCACCACTAAGACTAAAATTCCGAGCAAAGTGACGTGAATAAGACTTGATTTCAGTTTGATCGATATAGGACTAAAAAGATTACGTATCACTTAGTTATGTATGAATGAATGTAGTCATTACTTGTAAATCAAAAATGCTTTGATTTGGATCAATCACTTCATGTGAACATTACCAATTACATCAACCTTTTTTCACTATAAAACCCCATCTTAGTACCCTTTTGAAGTAATCAAATTAGGCCAAAAAGCATTTAACTTTCCTAAAACAATGGCTTTTATACATATGCAAATCTTTCTCTTCGTCGCTATATTTTCATCATTCTGTTTCTCCATCTCTCTTTCTCGTCCACTCGACAATGAACTCATCATGCAAAAGAGGCACATCGAGTGGATGACTAAACACGGCCGTGTCTACGCGGATGTGAAAGAGAAAAGCAATCGCTACGTTGTGTTCAAACGCAACGTCGAACGTATTGAACATTTGAATAGCATTCCCGCCGGAAGAACTTACAAACTTGCGGTAAATCAGTTTGCTGATTTAACCAATGACGAATTCCGCTCTATGTACACTGGTTTCAAAGGAGTCTCGGCGTTGTCTAGCCAAAGCCAAACTAAAACAACGTCGTTTAGGTACCAAAACGTTTCTTCTGGTGCCTTGCCGATTTCTGTTGACTGGAGGACGAAAGGAGCTGTGACCCCTATCAAGAATCAAGGCAGTTGCGGTATAAATCAAATCTTTATTCATATATAAAAATTAAACCGGCCTTTTTTAAAAATTGAAACCAAACTGAAATTTATTTATTCAATCAATTTGAGTTGGTTCATAGTGAATAAATCTATTTTTAGTGTAACTAACGGAATCGAATAACCATATTTTTATTAAAATTTTATATTTTTAGTTATAAATATATATATATATATATATATATATATATATATATAAAATTTCCATTTTGTTTTATTGAGATAGTTAGATACATGAAAATATTTATGATGGTGACACTAATGAGTGATGTTGTGTAGGATGTTGTTGGGCGTTTTCAGCGGTTGCGGCTATTGAAGGAGCAACACAGATAAAGAAAGGGAAACTTATATCTTTGTCTGAACAACAGCTTGTCGATTGCGACACAAACGATTTTGGCTGCGAAGGCGGTTTAATGGATACTGCGTTTGAGTATATAAAGGCTACCGGCGGCTTGACAACTGAATCAAATTATCCTTACAAAGGCGAAGACGCTACTTGCAATTCCAAAAAGACTAATCCAAAAGCAACTTCTATTACAGGTGCACTTTTAGTTAAGATGGTGGCACAAAATGATCAGAATTAACCGAGTTAATTCATATATAAACCGAAATATCTTAAAACAAAATTAAGATATACATACGACTAATTATGCTAAATCAAAGTAATATAAATAAAAGATTTATACTAGATAATATTCATATTTTGAATCTTAATAATCTCTTGTACGTTCACACATCATAGGTTATGAGGATGTCCCGGTTAACGACGAGCAAGCACTGATGAAGGCAGTGGCACACCAACCGGTTAGCGTTGGAATTGAAGGAGGTGGTTTTGATTTCCAATTCTATTCGTCTGGTGTGTTTACTGGAGAGTGCACTACGTATCTTGATCATGCAGTGACTGCGATTGGATACGGCCAATCGACTAACGGATCAAAGTATTGGATCATCAAGAATTCTTGGGGAACAAAATGGGGAGAAAGTGGATATATGAGGATTCAAAAAGATATCAAGGATAAACAAGGACTATGTGGTCTTGCCATGAAAGCTTCTTACCCTACTATATGATATCAAAACCGGTTCAGTACCCGGTTAAACTTTTAATTGTGTATGTTTGTGTGGGATTTATGTCTAAAAATAATTTGAATAGTTTATGCAAAAAAAAATTGTATTTAGACTGTTGTATGTATTTTGTGAAATTGTAAACTTATGTGATGCAAAAGATTGATAATTTCAAAAATGTTTCTTTTAAATTCAAGTCCATCAGATTTCGACACTATTAGGTAGGGATAATATGAAGCATATACAAAAATCGAATTCCACCAAGTAAAAATGAAAATTTGATAAGAAAATGAACGTTTTATATTATTAAAGCGATAATAATTTTGTTTTCAAAAATCGAATGGTGAATTGAATGGATCGAACTAGTCTGTTTGCGGTGAAGAACATTTTCGTTCATCCTTTACAAATTTTTGTTTGTCATCAACAAATCAGATTCAATAATATGTTGACCTTGTTCATATATATGCATATAAAATAGGGGGATTAGCAAAAATACCCCTTTTCTCATGCCCCTTTTCAAAAATGCCCCTTTTAGATGTCCATTTTCAAAAATGCTCCTTTTTAAATCTGAAATTTTTATAAAGTTTTATTAGGTTTATAAGGTACTTATGGATTGTAACTACTACTTGAAGACTCGATCCAAGTATTTATAAGGTTTTATAAGGTGTTTTTAAAGGTTTTACAAGTTATTTTAAAGGATTTTTAAGGTTTTTCAAAGGTTTTACAAGATATTTTAAAAGTTTTTAAAGGTATTTAAAATGCATTTATAAGGTATTTATAAAGTATTTATAAGATTTTAGATACATAGAAATGTAGTTTGTGTATGTTTTAATAATATTACATACATATTTGGGTAAATCTTATATTTTTAAGAGCATTTTTTATAAGGTTTTTAAAAAGGGGTATTTTTGAAAAGTGGCATTGAAAAAGTGGCATTATTAACAATTTCCCTATAAAATAACTGATCCAAATCTTTTTTTTTACGGCAACTGATCCTGATTTTTAGATGCTTATATGATGAAAACAATATTAGTTATCAGTTTATAATAAAATAATATGTGTTTTATGCTAGTAAAAAAATAAAATAATAAATTTTATGCATTTTGGACCTTAAAATATGAAATATTTTGTTGTAGGATTTTTGTTTTCTTACTCTTAACCTACTAGCAGGTCATAGAAACCGAGAGAGACGGTACTAAACCGAATTTGGTTCAGTTTGGCTTTGATTTTTATTCAAAAATACTAAACCGGTTTTGGTTTGCTTCGATTTAAAGACGACCCGACCCGGATTGACTCTGTTCCTTGCACGACTCCTCTTTCTCTCATCTCTCCGTCATCGTCTTCTTCTTTCTCACAGTCATTGACTCTTCATAAGAAACTTGCAAATTGAGAGAACAAATCCGCCATGGCTGAGAAGGAAACTCCACCAATCTTACTTCAATTCGCTCCATTAAACAGTTCCGTCGACGAAGGTTTCTGGCATAGCTTCTCCTCCTTCAAACTCGACAAACTCGGAATCGATGATTCTCCGATTTCAATCACCGGTAAACACACACAATCTTTGAATTACAAAATTACCCAATTCATCGATTTTACTATATAATTCGAAAATTCTATGCTTTCGAGTTTCGTATGATCCGTTTAGGTTATAGTAACAAAAAAAAAAGTTGTAAACTTTATAATCCTCTGTTTTCTTCGTTAGTATAAAACTTTAAATCGATTTTAATACAATAATTCGATGATTCTGTGCAATCACATTGATTGATTTCTGGGTAAGTTCTTATGATCCGTTTAGGTTAGAGAAACAAAAAAAAGTTGAAAACTTTAAAATCCTCTGTTTTGTTTAGTAGAACATTCAGATTTTGAATTCGTTGTAATTTGATGGGTATTGAAATTTTCAGGTTTCTCTGGACCATGTTCACATCCACAAGTCTCAAATCATTTGACTCTATTATCAGAGTCGTTGCCTTTAGAGGAAGAATCATTGATTGGTAGTACTAGTCATGGAAATAGGAATAAGTGTCCTGTTCCTGGGATTTTGTATAACACCAATACCGTCGAAAGCTTTAATAAACTTGACAAACAAAGTCTGTTAAAAGCAGAAGCAAAGAAGGTAGATATAAAACTTATCTTTGGCTTGGTTTTTTTTACTGGTTCTTGTCTGCAGAAGTTTAACAATTTTGTTGGTAAATTTTAGATTTGGGAGGATATACAATCAGGAAAAGCTCTTGAGGACTCTTCTGTGTTATCAAGATTCCTCGTTATATCTTTTGCAGACCTTAAGAAATGGAGTTTTCGTTATTGGTTTGCGTTCCCTGCACTTGTACTTGATCCTCCTGTAAGTTTGATTGAATTAAAGCCAGCTTCAGAGTATTTTAGTTCCGAAGAGGCGGAGTCAGTATCCGCTGCTTGTAATGATTGGCGCGACTCAGATTTAACTACTGGTACTCTACAATCTTGTTCTATTTATGTATTATTCAAATTCAACGAGTAGTAGCTGAAAATCTTTGTTATGTATTTGTGTGTTTTGCTGTAGATGTTCCATTCTTTTTGGTTTCGGTTTCTTCTGATTCAAAAGCTAGTATCAGACATCTTAAAGACTGGAAAGCGTGCCAAGGTGATCACCAAAAGGTATGTGTTAACTAACTCTTCCATATTCATAAGAAACCGGGAAAAAAAATCACCTTTATCTGTCCCTCTTCCTGCAGTTACTTTTCGGTTTCTATGATCCGTGTCACCTTCCTAGTAATCCTGGCTGGCCACTTCGAAATTATTTGGCACTGATTCGCTCAAGATGGAACCTTGAGACAGTTTGGTTCTTCTGCTACAGAGAGAGTCGTGGTTTCGCTGACTTGAACCTTTCCCTTGTTGGTCAAGCCTCAGTTACACTTTCATCAGGTGAATCAGCTGAGACTGTACCTAACTCAGTGGGATGGGAGCTTAACAAAGGAAAACGTGTACCCCGATCCATTAGCCTTGCTAATTCCATGGATCCAACAAGGTACATTTTTGCTCTGTGTCAATGATTTACTCAACTAAATGGGTAAAATCTGATTAGAAAAACGGATTCACGTTCTTTCGCAGGTTGGCTGTTTCTGCTGTTGATTTAAACTTAAAGTTAATGAGATGGCGAGCATTACCGTCTCTTAACTTAAATGTTTTGTCCTCTGTTAAATGCCTTCTTCTTGGAGCTGGTACATTGGGTTGCCAAGTGGCTCGTACCCTTATGGTACGTATTGAAGAAAATGCGAGATTTGACACTATTTTACAAACTCACTGATTAATTAAGAACTCGTTTATCTTTATTTTCTTAGGGTTGGGGAATCCGCAATATCACCTTTGTTGACTATGGCAAAGTAGCTATGTCTAATCCAGTCAGGCAATCTCTCTACACGTTTGAAGATTGTGTAGGCCGAGGCGAGTTTAAAGCTGTTGCTGCTGTTAAAAGCCTTAAACAGATATTTCCAGCAATGGAAACTAGTGGAGTTGTTATGGCTATACCGATGCCCGGACATCCGATTTCTAGCCAAGAAGAAGATTCTGTTCTCGGTGATTGTAAACGCCTTAGCGATCTGATTGAATCTCATGATGCCGTGTTCTTGTTAACCGATACAAGAGAAAGCCGGTGGTTACCTTCTCTTCTTTGTGCTAATGCCAATAAGGTAACTAAACTCTGTTTCTTTCTTTCTTTCTTGCTAGTTATGTAAGTATAACAATCCGCTTGATATGTCGGTGTTTGATTTGAATTTCAGATCGCTATAAACGCGGCTTTAGGTTTTGACAGCTACATGGTAATGCGCCATGGCGCTGGCCCCACTTCCCTGTCTGATGATATGCAGAATCTTGACATAAACAAGACAAATACACAGAGACTTGGTTGTTACTTCTGCAACGACGTGGTTGCACCTCAGGATGTAAATCCCTGACTTTTTCGGTTTTAATTGTTTTGTTTCGTGTTACCTCCTCCGGTGCAGTCCTGACTCGTCTTGACCCGCTCTTTTCTTGTATTTGCAGTCAATGACTGATCGAACTCTAGACCAACAATGTACTGTTACACGCCCGGGTCTAGCTCCTATTGCAGGAGCTCTCGCCGTTGAACTCTTAGTCGGAGTCCTACAACACCCACATGGGTAAGTCTTTCGAAACTCGAATACATAGAAAATACAATCCTCAGTGTTATCGTCTTACAAATGTTCAATACAGTATCAATGCAAAAGGCGACAATTCGAGCTTGAGTAATACAGGAAACAATGATGATTCGCCTCTCGGGATATTACCTCATCAGATTCGAGGCTCAGTTTCTCAGTTCTCACAGATCACACTGCTTGGGCAAGCTTCCAACAGCTGTACCGCTTGCTCTGAAACCGTAAGTTTCCACATGACATCTTTCTAACAAAACCAAGCTCTGGCGGATCTTATAATGTTTATAACTTGTATATTCAGGTGATATCGGAGTATCGGAAGAGAGGAAACAGTTTCATACTTGAAGCTATTAACCATCCTACATACCTAGAGGATCTTACCGGTTTAACCGAGCTAAAGAAAGCTGCTAATTCATTTAACCTCGACTGGGAAGACGATGATACTGATGACGACGATGTAGCTGTAGATCTTTAAAGACAGATATATGTATCAAATGTCTTCTTTTATGAAAATGGCTTCTTTTATGAATCTTTTGATAATCATTTTTTAACTAAATTAAAGCACAAAGAAATGAAGAAATCAGATTCTAAATCATCAGAATGATTAGTTCTATATCTACTGAACTGATAATTTCACCAACAATGTGTATTACAAATTAAATATTTTAGGTAAGCATGCATAGCTTTTAATTAAATTTGAAAAGAATACATTTAAAGATTTTACATATCACATTAGCAGAAAATATGGAGTTTGCGTAAAACAGATCCATTCAAAGCTGAGGTTTGCGTTGACCCAGCTTCATTCAAATCACAATTTAAGGAGATAAATGGCTAAAATTAGATTTGTTTAAAATTGAAATAGACATAACTTCTTATATAGACACAATATGTTCTTTTTTTTTTTTATCATTTCGAAAACACCATCAATAAATTTCTATCATCTTCGAAACTA